AGCACTTGATCTTTCTGCTGCTACCTGGCTTCTTTATTGTTCGTGGAATAATAATAACACAGGAGGAGGAGGGGTAAACAGCCCTCAGCTTTAACAAGTGCAGTGCTTAATTAACGGGCCCTTTTCTGTAATAATTAGTATGTGAGGTAGAAAATAGGTAAATTGGGCCCATTTCTTTCTGTTTTTCTTTTTTTTTTTTTTTTTGATATCTAATCTGTTCTTTAAGTCTGGTTGACTTTTAAAAAGCTCCTTGAGGGCTGCTGTGTTTTGGGGAAAGACCAGAGCTATGTGGAACAAAGGCAGAGCAGTGTTTGTCTATTTCTCTGGAAAAATGTGGCAAGAATGGAAATATGTAAATTCTTTTTAGTTTTTTAGTTTGTAGAGAGAGAAAAAAAACAATAACGAAAAAAGTTTCGTTTAGTTAAGTTCTATGGGAGAAAACCTATTATGCCGGAGAATGAAGTGGTGATGTTAGGGCCTTTTGATTCCTTTGTTTAATCCTCCACTTGGCTCTGTTGGATGCAGTATTAAATATCAACATCAGAACTCCCACTTTCCTTTCTGTTTTTTATTTTTATTTCCCCTCTTTTCTTTAAGAAAAACAGCAGTAACCAATTTGTACTTATTTTTTGGCATCACACAATGTGATGTGTTTGCCCTTTATAAATTTTATGTCTGGGCATCTGTTCCTATTCATATATCTGCAGGAAGGTTTGAAGGCTAATCCTAGTGATAATTTCCTTCTTTATGGCTTGTCCAGCTCCAGAAAAGCTATGGGTTCTTTCAGTAAGTAACGATTTATAGAGCCCTAGATTGTATGCAATTGTAAGTTTTTTTTTCTGTAAATTCATGAACGGATCATTTTTTAGTTCTTGCAATGCCAAGATTTGCTTGTTTGTGGCAATGGTTGATGTGTGCCACTCATAGCTTAGCTGTGTTAAATGGATCAGGCCTTTTGAAAGGTGTTAGACTTAGAGGCGAATCAAAGATTAAATCTAATTTGGTGCTAGTGAATGGTTCTTGTCTGACTCTTACTAGTAACAATAAGTTAAAAAAATTATAGCAGTTTGAATCTATGACTCACCATTGTGAATATTAGAAAGTTCCTTGAAAAATACTGTTTGTGCAGAAGCTCTGTCACTTAGCCAGATGTTTTACGTTAGACAGCGATAGCTCTGGAAGCCATGCTCTTCTCTGATGCTGGAAAGCATTTGTGTTAACTCTGAGCCCAAAGTGGCTTCTTTCAAAACTGTATTACTATTGCCACATAATTTTAGTAGCAGTTAGTCTAGGGACTAAGACTGATTCTACTAAGTCAAGTATTACTGATTTTGTACCCTGTGAAAGTCTTCATAGGAGTGATTCGTTTCTGTTCTTGATACTTTTGCAAGAATTCATTGTGAGTTGTGGACTGATGGGAACTTGCTGAGTGCTCTTTGGCAGCCTATTATCAGAAAGGATATTTTTCTGAGAAGTAGAATTACAAATTATTATAAATAAAGAACCTCTTCCAGCTCTTAATAGATTAGACTAATACAGTTAGGAATTTCCAGTTATTTTTCATGTTAAGTTCAGAGAAGATCTGGATTGATTATATACTTTTCTGTGGCATTCTTGGTTTTAAAGTTTCTGTTTTATATGTGTACATTCTTAAAATTTTCTTTTTATTTCTAAGAGCCACTGAAGGGTTGGTATATTAGACCAGGAAGTAGGAGACAGCCTTACCTGTGTTTGTGTGTGTTTTTTGTTCTTGTTCACAAAACAGAAGCTTTTGATCTCTATAATATTTTTGGCATTATAGGAGGCAGTGGGTTGATAGAAATGAAAGATACATTACCAAGCATTTAGTTTAGTTGGATCCTTTCCCTGGGTAACCTTGGACAAATTACTTACCATGTGTAAGTTTCGATTTTTTTTGTATATAAAATGGAAAGAGAGATGGAACGTCTTCCATCCACTGGTTCTCTTCCCTAAAGATTGCAATGGCTGGAGCTGAGCTGATCCATAGCCATAAGCCCGGAGCCAGGAGTTTCTTCTGGGTCTCCTACACAGGTTCAGGGTCCCAAGACTTTGGGCTGTCCTCGACTGCTCTCCCAGGCCATTAGCAGGAAGCTGGATGGGAAGTGGCGCAGCCAGGACATGAACCGGTGCCCACATGGTATGATGGCACTTGGAAGTGAAGGGTCAGCTAGCCAAGCCATTGTGCTGGCCCAATAAATGAGAAGTTTTTTTTTTTTTAATTAGAATTGTTTTAAATATCTATGGAGGTTGTTACTAATTTTGTGTAATATAATTCATGCTGCTTTAAGGGAAGGCTCCCTGTTATCCACCGTAACAAAAATGTCAAAAAAATTTTAAGAGTCCTCCTTGCTTCTCTTTTTGCTCTTTCCACCATCCAGTTCCCCAGCAGTAGCTGTATTTCCAAAGTATATTCAGATAGTTTGCTTATCTCCCCCAGCCCTGTAATCCAAACCCGGAGTGTCTTTCACTCTCCTGACTGCAGCAGCCTTTTTATCCATTTCTTTTTCTTCTGATGCCCCTGGACAATCCATTCAGCACAAAGCCAAGCAAAGTGATATTTTCAAAGTCTGAATATGATTATCTTTCGGCTAAATGCATGGTAGCCCATTCTCAATTAGAATGAAATCCAAGTTCATTAACCCTGCCATCCAGAAACCACCTGTGATCTGGCTCCCACCTGTTTGTCTACCTCGTCCACCTCATGGTATTGTGCTCTCCTTTGCTCTCCATTTGCTAGCCAGCAGCCTTAGGTGATGATGGAGCATGGACTATGGCTAGTCTGAATTGAGATGTGCATGTCAGCTATGCCTTGAACTTCAAAGTCTTTATCTGAAATGTATCATGTAATGCGTATCAACAGTGTTTATGTTGATTCTGTATTTTTGATAATGTTTTGTATGTATATATTGGGCTTAAGTAGTAAAGTTAAATATTTTGTTAAGTTCAGTTCTTTATTTTTTTCCTTTATACAATGAAATGGCTAGAAAGTTAAAATCTCTGTGTGTGGCTTTCATTATATTTTTTTCTTTAAAAAAAGAGATTTGTTTATTTTTATTGGAAAGGTGGATTTATAGGGAAGGAGAAATACAGAGAGAAAGCTCTTCCATCCAGTAGTTCACTCCCCAGATGGCCACAATGCTGGAGCTGAGCAGATCCAAAGCCAGGAGGCAGAAGTGTCTTCTGGGTTTCTGATGCAGGTGCAGGATCCCAAGGACTTGAGCCATCCTCTACTGCTTTCCTAAGCCACAAGTGGAAATCTGGTTGGGAAGTGGAGCAGCTGTGACATGAAGTGATGCTCGTGTGGGAATCCAGTGCTTGTAAGGGGAGGATTAGCCAATTGAGCCACTGTTAGAAAGCGTGTTCTATCCATGAAGGTTTTCCTGTTTCTCAGACTCACATTCTGATAGCTTTGTAGAATTGGCTCTTTTTTTTAGTGAGATACCCATGTAAAGCTGTCTCACAGAGACGGTCCTCTGACCTTACAGTCACTTAGCCTCCAACTCTCTGACCTGCTTTCCTATGTTACTAGGTGGGGTTTGTTACTATCTCCGATTCTGTATATTTCTGTATATTTCTTTATTGTGTGACTCCCCGCTCTAGTTCCTAAAAATACAAGCTCAAGGTTGCTCTGCTGTACTATTCTATTTCTAGATAATGGTAACTTTTGAAAATCAGTATTTTGTTTGCACTAACCCTGCATTTTCCTCTTTCTCTCCCTAGAATGGCTTTTTTTTTTCATTGACCGTAAGCCCCTGCAAAGATCCTATCCAGATCACATTTTGTGTCTTCCAAGAAGCCTGTCCTGTACTCCAGTTAGCCTCGAATTCCTCACATGGCGCTTCACATGTTATAGCACTTATTGATGCTAGAAATGTTCATAATAGTACTAGAGAAATAGCAAATACTTCTCAGCTCTATGTTTCTAGTCAGATGCTTGCAGGAAGGGTTTTAAAGTATCCTGTGATTCTGTTATCTGGAGGATGATAAAGGGTGAGGTGTTAAAGACAAAAAAGTAGAAGCTCCCTCCCACACACACATTGGACTTCTGTTTGAAATGGAAGCATATTCCAGAACCACTTGGGAGTTAGTTGCAGGCATTGCAGCCTTTACCCTGAATGCTTAAGCATGTGTTTTCCAAGCACAAGGATGTGTGTTACATAACTGCAATGAAGTCCACAGGCTTAGGATGTTAGTATTGGTAAAATACTGTTATGTAATAAGTAGTGCATATTTAAAATCTGCCAATTTTTTTCCAATAATATGGACAGGTATGTTTTAAGAAAGGTTAGATGGAATATTACTTTTTCTCTTTTAGGAATAGTGCAAAATAGGATAAAACAAATATTTGGTCATTGTAAGCATTCCCCTCTGTGATTCCCTTCCTTCTCTTTAAAATATTTGCTGTGTGAAAATGTAGTGTTTGTGTGAGTTGGTAGGGAAGAGTGTAGAAGAAGGGGAGAAGTGTAGGAAGGCTAGAGGTGAAGCAATGTTCTTTTTTAAATGCTGTTTTTTTTCAAAAGATGATTTTTTTTATTGTGTTTGTGTGTGTGTGTGAGAGAGAGAGACAGCAGAGATGTTCATCTACTGTGTTACTTCCCAGTTGACTGCAGCAGCTGGAACTGAGCCAGGCTGAAGCTAGGAGCTGGAAATTTCATCCAGGTCTCCCATGTGGCTGGCAGGGGCAAGTTCTTGAGCACCTTCTGCTGCTTCCCCAGGCACATTAGCAGGAAGCAACCAAGACTGGAACCAGTGCTCATGTGCAATGTTGGCATGGCAAGTGGTGACTTAACCCTCTGTGCCACAATACTGGCCCTAGAATTGGTGCACTGATAAGGAATAGGACTGTCTTCAGGAAATCAAGTGGACATTTCACATAACAACTCCAGTCGTCCAGATATCTGGCAAAAAAAGATGCCAGAATGTGAAGAAAGCATTTGTTACTGGTTTCATCTAACTCAACTTTTCTCACTACTACTTAGCCCATGACTGAAGAATTACTCAGACAACAAAAGGTGAACTCCGATGAGACCACTGTAAGTCAACAGTCTGTGCCTGATTCCCACTTGGCTGAACTTCAGGAGAAAATCCAACAAACCGAGGCCACCAACAAGGTATGAGGGATTCTGCGCCTTTGGAGATCACAGAGTTTCTCGAAGAGTCTGTGAACCTGGACAGCACTTGGGAGATTAATTCTGTGGACACCTCGTGAGCTAGGGAACATTTCATGGATAGGTTTGGGCTTCCCTTTGTTTCTTGTCGGCATTTTACTTGCTGTACACAGTCCAGTTGCTGGGACCTTTTAGGAAACGTGCATGAAGTCTTTATCTGTGAAAACACCTGGGCAGCAGGTGTATGCTTTTCGGTTTCATGTAACTTCACACCTCTTCATGCCCGTGGGTTCTGTGCCATTGTGGTGTCCTGCTCTGTGCCAGACAGCAGATGCTGCCTGGTCTGTGTGTCGGATCCACAGTGGCCTTTGTGGACAACTGCCCATGACAGCAGACATCAGTGTGTGAGAACTGAGGAAGTGATATATGGAAGGCCCAATTTTGTTTTTCCTGCAGCTCTCTTCTGCTCAGTGATTTAAGATTTTATCAGCTACTGTATGTGGAAAAATGTAAACAAGGTGATAGTTCTCAAAGAATGGCTTAGACCCTCAGTTTGAGAAAGACTTGACAGTTGCATTTGTGGTACAAATAAATCCTTGACCTAATAAGCTGATTCTCTTTGCTGAATTCAGATTCTTCAAGAGACACTGAATGAAATGAACCATGAACTGAAGTCTGCTCAGGAGTCATCGCAGAAACAAGATAGTACCATTCAAAACCTCAGGGAAACTCTGAAAAGCAGGGAAAATGAGGTAAAATACCTAGCAATCAAGGACCTACGGGGAAATTAGACGAATAGACAAATATGTTATATTTTGTAGACATGCATCTTGTCAACATCTTAGAAATTGGAGCTTAACCTGAATTGGTGTTTTGCAATAATCCTATTACAGGTAAGATCATGGAATGCATGTTCATTTACTAATATGTTGAGTTTCCCTCTCCTTTTCAGACCGAGGAGCTGTACCAGGTGATTGAAAGTCAAAATGACACCATGGCAAAGCTTCGAGAAATGCTGCACCAGAGCCAACTTGGACAACTTCAGGTATGTGAGGGTCCATGAGACAGGAGAGATTGCCATTGGCCCGGGTTGCATGTGCATTTTACAGTCTGCTCTGGTGCTCTGCGCTTGCCCGGTTTGTGATCATGATTCCTGCTCCCTGTCAGAGTTCAGAGGGTACCGTGCCAGCTCAGCAGCAGGTAGCTCTGCTCGATCTTCAGAGTGCCCTGTTCTGCAGTCAGCTTGAAATACAGAAGCTCCAGAGGGCAGTGCGACAGAAGGAACGCCAGCTGGCCGACGCCAGGCGTTGTGCACAGTTTGTAGAGGCTGCAGCACGAGAGAGAGAACAGCAGAAAGAGGCTTCTTGGAAACATAACCAGGTAAATCATTAACCGTTTTGTAGCCTTGAACTCTGACTTTGCCCTGATGGTAATTTTTTTTTTAGCAGGATGGTTTTATGTTGAACTCTTGAGTCATTCACTAACTCTGAGCAGTTCTGTGCATCATTGGTTGTCCTCTTGACCGTCCTTGTGCCAGGCATTAGACTGTGTTCTGGAAATGCATGGGTGAATAGCCCTGGCCCTCTCCCATAAAGCCACTTGCTGTTAGTGTGAGAGTCATATAAACAGACACTCCAGTCTCTGGGATCCTACAGGGATATCCAGGAGGGACTGAGGAAAGGAGTCAGAGAAAACTTCACCAAGGAGTAGGCAGCTAAGGTTATTCTTGAAGGGCAAGTAAAAATCAGAAAGGTATGAAAGAACCCGTGTCGAGGAATGCATGGATGGCCAGGCATTTATTTAAAGAACATGTACTTCCAGTGGTTCCTCCACCTTGCTAACTTGCAGCTTATGCTATCTTTTTTTTTTTTTTAAAGAGTTCAAAGGTCATTTTTGTAGTGTAACTTTTGCAGGCTTTTTAACATTCAGATTTCAAGGTGTCACTTTGAAGAATCTCTGTGACTTAATAGTTTGTTGGTTCAGTTTTTTTTAAAGATTTATTTTTATTATTTTTTCATCGGAAAGGCGGATATACAGAGAGGAGAGACAGAGAGGAAGATCTTCTGTCCGATGATTCACTCCCCAAGTGAGCGCAACGGCTGATGCTATGCCGATCCGAAGCCAGGAGCCTCTTCCGGGTCTCCCACGCGGGTGCAGGGTCCCAAAGCTTTGGGCTGTCCTCGACTGCCTCCCCGGGCCACAGGCAGGGAGCTGGAAGGGAAGCAGGGCTGCCGGGATTAGAACCGGCGCCCATATGGGATCCCGGGCATGCAAGGCAAGGACCTTAACCACTGCGCCACGGCGCCAGGCCCCTGTTGGTTCAGTTTTAACCCTGGATTTCCTTTAAGATATTAAAATTTCTGATGTTGTGGTTACAGGGATGGAATAATTCTTAACTTTTTTGCTCTTTGTCTAATGGAAACATCAGATGGCTTAAGGGATACTGATGTTATTATTAGGAAGATATAACATTACAGGTTCAGAAAGATGAGTGATAGTCTTTGTGAGGATGATTGAAATATTCTGTCCTTCAGCTTATCATACAATATCTAGGTGTGTGGTCCAGACAGAATCATGCCTATTAGTGTTACAGATCTGTGTTCTTTAAGTAAAGCAAAAGAACAAGTGTTGAAGTGTAAGGTCAGATTTACTTCCTACTCCATCCAGTTTTCATAGTGTTCCAAATCCTGTTCCTGTACCATGTGAACATCCAACAGTAGCTTTAAGCATGGTGCTTTCTGCCACTCCCTGTACTTCATTCCATATACCTTGAAACTGCTGAGACTTTTAAGTCTAATGACCATGTGAAGATTTTAGATGACTTTGATAAAGGGAATATGTTTAATTCAGGAATTGCGAAAAGCCTTGCAGCAGCTGCAGGGAGACGTGCAGAATAAAAGCCACCAACTTCGCACCCTGGAGATTGAAAAATACAATGAAATACGAACTCAGGAACAACACATCCAACACCTAAACCATAGTCTGAGCCACAAAGATCAGCTACTTCAGGTGAGTTGCTATTTCAGCCTCAACTGGTTTCAGAGAACTCTGGAATTCCTTTTCATGTCCTTTCAAGGTGTTATTGCATGTGTGTTGAGTACCTGCTCCATGTAGAATGTGGAGTGTGGGGACATCAGGAGGATTTAAAATAAACAGAAAATATGATTTTGTGAATCAATATGCTGACCAGTGTTAGAAGCAATACACATAGACCTGGAAAGACTGAAACAGTACATTTTCAGCAACTGATTAGTATGCACCTGTTAGGCGTTCCGCTGGCTGTTCCGAAGGCTGGTTTGGTCACTGCTCTCAGTAGGGGAAGACACCTGCGCAGATGTTTACCGAGTGGTTTGGATGATACCATGTGGTGCAGCGAAAGTTTGAGGGGGAAAAACAGAGTACTGAGAAGAGTGATGGATTCTGCCATCCACTCTAAACTTCAGTCATACCACAGCCCTTGACATTTCCTTCAGTGTGTAATTTTTTAAATAGGTCTATATTTTATCTGACAGATACACCCCAAGACTTCCTCATTTGGGAAAACCTAGAGTAGTTGTTTTTTGGGTTTTTTTTTTTTTTGGTCTAAATTTTTGTTTTTATCTTCTCTTTGCTGTGATACAGTTTTGGTAGATTTAGGGTTTCATCCCTACCCTTGTGGTCCATTCCTCCTCTGCTTCTCCCCTCCCTCTTTCCTTTCCCACCCCCATGTGTGGTCCTTAGTGACCCCTTCAGGCAGATTTGGGCAATGCAGCCTCTGTCCCCAAGTGTGCATGTTGTAGCAGTCTGCAGTTCTGTGTGTGTTGCAGAATATTACCACTGATTGTGTCTGGTATCTGTGCTAAACTTATGCCACTTTGGGGGAGTGATCACATTTCATTTTTTAAAAATTCTGAATAACTGACAGATTGCTTGGCACAGAGGAGGAATTCAGTTGGTATCAGATAAATGAATAGAGGAAAATTTTTTTGGTCTCTTCAGGAATTTCAGGAGCTCCTGCAGTATCGAGAGAACTCAGACAAAACCCTCGAAACAAACGAGCTGTTGCTTGAGAAACTTCGGCAACGGATACAAGATCGGGCAGTTGCTCTAGAGGTACACCGTCATCATTTAGCTCATGGCTGGAGATGATTCTTTATCGGCAGCTACTCAGGTTGCCTCTTTGGGGCTGTGGTTTGCTGTTGTCCATCCTTCGGTCAGGACAGTGAGGTTATGGGGTTTCAGAAGTCTTTCTCTCCTGGCAGCGGGCTATTGATGAAAAGTTCTCCGCCCTAGAGGAGAAAGAACGAGAACTGCGTCAGCTTCATCTCGCCGTGCGGGAGCGAGACCATGACTTAGAGCGGCTGCGCGGCGTCCTCTCCTCCAACGAAGCTACCATGCAGGTAAGAGCAAAATCCCCCGCTTCATTCCAAGCCTGGAACATCAGCCTCTTCTATCATTTACCTTATAAGGAAAAAAAAAATACACAAGCAAAAATCACAGTCATCAGTGAGTGCCATCACTGAAGGTGAGAATGGGACATTTTGGCACTTCAGCCTTGTTTTATACCAGGAGCTTGGCTCGGGGGAGGGGAGCAGTAGATATTGATTCGTATTTACATAGTTCTGGTATATTTCTCATCCTGTCTGTACACACACAGCATTGACAAGGTGCAACCATGATATTCTATGCTGCTCGTTATCGTTATGTGCATGTCCATTATATGGCTATCATTAGAACATTTGTTTACGAATGTTTATTGTGGGCTTTTCTGGAAGACTCCTTTTAGAGCTTACATATCTACCATCTGTCATTGGACCCTCATTCTCTCTGCAACACTGTGTATTTCTTCCAAAATACTTTGTTTGTATAGTCTTGCATTTGTCTCTCACAAATGAAGAGTTTCTAAAAATAAATTAATTAGTGCGGCACTGTTAAATGATACACTAAGTTTTCTCCTCTTGCAGCAGAATTCATGGGCGATAACTTGGGAAGTGTTTAAAGATAGATCTGTCTTTTTGTTTGTCTTGAGGACTGCAGGGTCTCCCTCAAACTTACAGTCGTCCTCTGTGTTCCTGTAGAGTATGGAGAGTCTCCTGAGAGCCAAGGGCCTGGAAGTGGAGCAGTTAACTACGACCTGTCAGAACCTCCAGTGGCTGAAAGAAGAAATGGAAACCAAATTTAGCCGTTGGCAGAAGGAACAAGAGAGTATCATTCAGCAGTTACAGACGTCTTTACATGACAGGAACAAGGAAGTAGAGGCAAGGCTTCAGTTACTTTCCGGGAGTTGGTTTAGTGATGTCACAGCCTCTCTAGGGACTCCTGACACCCGGGAGGCCAGTGATCCCTGTTTAGAATCCCACTCTGTGCCTGGGCAAGCTATAGACTTTCACTAGAACTTTTTTTCATACCCGTTAACTAAAAATGGCTAAACTAAAAATTATCTTTCTCAATGAAATTGTATGAGCATTAATGAGTTATAAAAATACATGTCTACAGTATTATAGCTAACCTCTACCAGTGGTACGCTAACCTTTACTAATTAGTGTGCTCAGGCTGGGTCAGGCATTCTGTTAAGGGCTAAATGGGTCTGGGCGTACTGCTGCTCATCAGACTATGAGGGACATGCTATTAGCCCTATTTTATAGACAAGAAAATTAGCATCTGAAGGAGCTTGTCCAGGGTAACATAGCTCATTAAGTGACAGGTCCAGGCATTTTGGCACCTTCTTTAATTGCCATGTGCTGGCTCTCTGTGCAGGAATAGGAACCACGTAATCCTGCTCATAAAAAATGCTCGTTATTTCCTCGGCTTATTTTGTGCTTCCCCTACAAAGTGATACTGGAGAGAAAATAAATAAATGAGCCGAGTGCTCATTATTCATTAGAGTTAATCACTATGTGCGCTGAACAAATGGGAAAAGGACCCATCACAGAGAACAGTAGCTAGTGGCCAGAATAGGTGTTTTTCTGTATTGTTAATGTGCACTCACTGACTGCATATTTACAGCCTTCTATGAAACAGGGCCTTTGCTCTAGTTGGGGGAGAAATAGGAATAAAACAAGAATCTCGCAGCCCTTTGTGTAACGATAGGTTTGTAGAAGTATGTAGCAGGAGGCATAGAAGAGTTTCCCTCAGAAACTTACGTTGTCTCTTCTGTGTTAGGATCTTAGTGCAACATTGCTCTGCAAACTTGGACCAGGGCAGAGTGAAATAGCTGAGGAGCTGTGCCAGCGTCTACAGCGAAAGGAGAGGATGCTGCAGGACCTGCTAAGTGATCGGAACAAACAAGCGGTGGAGCATGAAATGGAGATTCAGAGCCTGCTGCAGTCCATGAGCACCAGGGAGCAAGAGAGCCAAGTAAGGGCCAACACATGTGTCAGAGAAGTGCCGCTGGGTACATGTGTGCAAATAGGAAGTGCTTGGACCCAGTAACATGCGTCTGTCTTTGTACAGTCAGCTCTGTTTCTCCCTTTCAGTTTGTTAACCATACTACAGTTTTATAAGCATCATCAAGATGTGGAATGTTTTCTGGATGCTCTACATTTGTAAGGGTGCCTAAATGCTACAAACACTATTAAACTTCATTAGAGACAGTTTCTCTTTCTTGATGTTTTGATCCTTTGGAGAGAAAGGAGTATGGGCTCTGGAGTGATTTGGCTTTGATCAAAACTTGAGTGATGGTTGATATTTTTAGCCAAGATAGGGAAAAACTTTATGGTCAGCATACTTCCCTTAATTCTTACGAAATCTGAATTAAGGCAAAAATACTGTGCTTTATAAAAGTCACTGTGAGAATAAATGATCTCATAACAATATGGTACATTAATCTCAATCATGTGCAACTTGTCAGAAGCAACTTTTTTTTCAAAAATTAATTTTTATAAGAGACTTATATTTTTGAAAGCAAAGTGGCAGAGGAGGAGAAAAAAAAAACATTGTGTGAGATATCCTCCATCCACTAGTTCATTGCCCAGCTCTTTCAAGCACTGAGCCCAGGCTGAAGCCAAAAACTCCATTTCAGTTTCCTGTGTGGGTGGCAAGGACCCAGGTACTTGCCATTATCCTCTGCTTTCCCAGGTTTGTTAGCAAGGAGCTGGATAGGAAATCGATCAACTGAGACTTAGACCAGCACTCTGGATACCAGCTTTGCTAGTGGTGGCTTAACATGCTGTCCCACGAGACTGAGTCCCGAAGTTAGTTCTTAATTTTTCCTCATTTCCAGATTTCTTTCTCCTTAAAACTGTGGATGCGTATCAGGGACCAGTGGCTCAGAATCCACCTGCTTGATTTTCAAAGGAAGCTAGATTTTTTTTTTGTTTGTTTGTTTCTTGTTTAGATTCTTGGATCATCTGATAAAGTTTAAGTCTTTTTGCCAGTGCTATCTTAGTACATCCTAAGAAGACAAATCTGGTAAGATGACATTTGGCAAAAATCTGGAAGGAGCAAGTGATACAAATGTTCAGTGATGAGAGTTCAGACTGAAAGAACAGCTCTAGGGAAGCTATTTCTTTGTCTCCTAAGGGCTTTTTAGTCAGTAGTTGGCTTTTAAGAAATATCTGAAGAATACAACTTTTGTTTTCTACTGAATTATCTTTTTATATTTGGGTTTTTTTCTCCTATTAGGCTGCCGCAGAAAAGATGGTACAAGCCCTAATGGAAAGAAATTCAGAGTTACAGGCCCTGCGTCAGTATCTAGGCGGGAAAGAGTACATGATGTCCCAAGCATTCAGTTCTCACCAACAAGCTGCAGTTGCCTCCAGTGGCCCTCCACTTGCAGAGCAGACTGAGCAAGTAAGAATTACAGACTTGCTGGGTATTCATGCTGATTCTCTTTGCCTTCCTTTATTTAAAGATTTTATTTTTAATTTCTGTTGAAAAAATCAGATATATAGAGAGGAGTCTTTTTCCCTTTTGTATTCAATGTGTAAAGTTTGGCAGTTCTTACGTATGTGCCCACGTGTATACACACACACACACACACACACACACACACACACACACACACACACACACACATAATTTGAGAGTGAAAGGCAGAGTTCCCATTCATTGTTTACTCCTGAAATGCCCATAGTGAACCCTGACTGGGCTCAAAGCCTGGAGCGAGGCATTCTATCCAAGTTTCTCCCATGAGTTTGGGAGAAACTCAGTTACTTGAGGTATCACTGCTGCCTGTAAAGGTTTGCGTTTGCAGAAAGCGGGGTTCAGATGATGGAGGCAGGCATCACATCCAGGTGTTCCAGTTTGGAACATGGGCATCAAATAAAAAAATGTTCTTTAAAGATTTTTGTTTATTTTTATTGGAAAGTCAGATATACAGAGAAAAGGAGAGACAGAGGAAGATCTTCCATATTCTGATAAACTCCCTGAGCAGCCACAATGGCCGGAGATGAGCCGATTTGAAGCCAGGAGCCAGGAGTCTCCTCCAGGTCTCCCACATGTGGGTGAAGAGTCCTAAGACTTTGGTCCATCCTCAACTGCTTTCCCAGGCCACAAGCAGGGAGCTAGATGGGAAGTGGGGCTGCCGGGATTAAAACTGGCACCTATGTAGGATTCCAGGCATGCAAAGCGAGGACCCCAGCCACGAGGCTATAATGCTGGGACTCCAAATCTCTCTCTCTCTCTCTTTTTAAGTGGATAAGACCATTGTATCTTTAACAGCTCGGCCAAATTCCCACTCCAGTTTGATCATTATAATACCAGATTGTCTGAGAATATTTCAAGACCTGTCCCCATCTTCCTACATCTCCTGACTCTTCCAATTTTTAGGGTTCACTGCACGTATCATCCAGAGATGGTAGCACTTCATTGACTGCCAAAGAAGATGCCAGCACACCCAGGTCCATGCTACGTAAGTAAACCATTTTATTTCATGAAAGAACCTTCTCACTTTTTCTTTCTGTACCTTAGTGCTAACAATTTTGGGAAGATTTTGTTTTTCCTTCTACCATACCTGAACTAGATGTTCAGATTGACCTGAAAGGTTAAAGGCACATGTGTTCTGGGAAGTGCTAACCTTACACTGTACTGAATTGAGAGTGTGTCTCTGGGCTCTCAGTTTGATGCTGGGTTATCTTTTTCAGATAGCTTTGCAGGGGTTCAACAATTCTGGAGGAAGTGTTTCCAGATTTGAACATAAGTACATTGGGACTGACACTTTGTCCTGTGTGTCTTTCAAGGCTGGCTCTACTCACTATGAGTTCGCATCATCTCCATGAAAAGTATTGGGATGGGGAGGCAGTATACATTATTTGTAATATGTAGGCTGATTGCAGTATTTGTTGTTATAAGTAAAATAGCTTGTTTATGTGAATATAAACAAATGTATGGAATATACCTCAGAGTAAATTCCTCAGAAATGAGATAGCAAAGTTTACATTGCTAATAGTGATTAAAGCTAACTGTGTTCATTTTAGGAGACTTGGACACTATTGCAGGATTGGAAAAAGAGCTAAGTAATGCCAAAGAAGAGCTTGAACTCATGGCTAAAAAAGAGAGAGAGAGCCACGTAAGTTTGCCAGGAAGTTTTGATTTCTAAATCCTTACTTTCTTTTCATAGTAGTTTCTATTTTAAAGAGTAAAGTTCTCTAAGAACAATACCTGATTGTGGATGCAAGGGGATGTCTTTTTTATTTTGGAGGAAAAATATAAATGGCATTGTATGTGTCTTATTTCAACAAGTTGCTCTTGGTTTTGTAATGAAGACTACCAAAGATGTTCAAGTACTGAAACAATAGTTTTATTCATTGCGTCTGGGGCTAAAACACTTGTCAAACACTTGTGAAAAGTGAAAAAAAATTCACTTAAAATTGTGATAATGACATTAGACCCGTGAAAATAATTTCAGAGACATGAAGTGAGAAATTTGAGTGTAATCAATAGATGGTACTGAATCCTCATGGTTTTGTTGTACTGTGGTAGGTACTTAAATAAATTAGCACTCATCTTTACAACTTTACATGAAGTAAACAGTACTGGTCCTCTTTTATAGATGAAGAAACTGAAAAGCTGACTTTTTAAAAATAGGAATTATTTGAGGAATAGCCACATAGCTAATAAATGCTAGCACTAATGTTTAAACTCAGGCCTTTTGTGACTACCCACACTTAACAAAGAATTTGTTTCTGGTTCAGATCATTTATGCTTTACTCTTTTTTTTTTTAAAGATTTATTTTATTTTTCATCAGAAAGGCAGATATACAGAGAAGAGAGACAGAGAGGAAGATCTTCCGTCCGATGATTCACTCCCCAGGCGGCCACAACGGCTGGAGCTGAGCCAATCTGAAGCCAGGAGCCTCTTCCGGGTCTCCCACGCGGGTGCAGGGTCCCAAAGCTTTGGGCCGTCCTTGACTGCTTTCCCAGGCCACAGGCAGGGAGCTGGATGGGAAGTGGGGCCTCCGGGATTAGAACCGGCGCCCATATGGGATCCCGGGCGTGCAAGGCAGGGACCTTAACCACTGCACCATCGCGCCGGGCCCGCTTTACTCTTTCTAGCAGTGAAAGTTCTCAATAATTTTCTTAGGAGAAATCCCTTAGCCTTACAGAATCCCTCTCCCCTTTCCTTCCCTGTTCAGATAGTTGCATATCCCACTATAATGTAGAAGAAATGTTAGGACCACAGCAAGGGGTTGCAGACTAATAGTAAAAACATTCATGTTGCTCTGTCATCTCCTGTAGAGGATCCGCCAATATCATGGCTAAATTAAGTTTAGCTAGCTAATGCCTAGAGCTCCTCAGTTTTATTCTACCTTTCTGCCATAATTAGATTTACAGTATAAAACCTGTGCCTGCACTTGTGATGGAATTGTCTTATTGCACCCCTATACTTGGGATGGAGCTGTGTTATTACACCCCTTGCTTTCATTACCATCTTTCCACAAATGTATGCTGCGTGACTCAGTAAATTTTGAGGATGTGAGAGTGTGTGGCAATTTTAAAATGCCAGTTTTAAAAATCCCCGAGTTCCCCTCTTGGTTTTCTTTTTGTTGTTGTTTCTACCTACTCTTTATCTAGTTATTTATGTCAGATAATTTAGTTTCTATATGCTGTTTCTCTTTCTCTCACATATAGCAAGCCTAGATCTTGTTTGTTGGTTATGTCCTATTTTCAGCATTATAAAATTATACTGCCTTTAAAGGGGTATTTTGAATGAGAGTTGGCTATTGCTTATCTTCAGGCATCCTTAATCAGCTATCTACCTCCAAGTCTGAAGCCATATGTATTTATTATCAATTTCCTCTAATATGAGGTATTCACCAGCTGTCATATGGATTTTCCCAAATTTTTAAATATTGTTCTTATTCTTCGAAAATAGTAGTAACACTAACAGTATCAGCAGCAGTATTTACCACTCACAGATGCCCTAGTATGTCCCAGATGCATTACATATAATTTATCCTAATTCTCACATAGCCATGAACAGAAAATATTATTTCCATTTTCCATTTGAGGACACTGAGCCTCTATTTCAATGCTTGTCAGTGAGGTTATGTCCAGACTTAAAACCTGTGTCAGTCTGCCTGCAGAGTTTTTTCATGCTGTGATGGAGGTCTTACTTTCATTTTTGTTCCCATGGAGCAGATACTTGGTACTTATAGAGGTCTCTGAAGAGGGCCCCCGGTCTGGGAATTGAGAAATAAAAGGAAGGTATGGCAGATAGTTCTGTACTTCTGCCTGCTGACTTTATTATTGGTAAAAGCTCTTGGAGGACTTGGCCCAATGGCTCAGTGGCCAAATCCTCACCTTGCACATGCCAGGATTCCCACGTGGGCACCGATTCCTATTCCAGCTGCTCCACTTCCCATCCAGCTCCCTGCTTGTGGCCTGGGAAAGCAGTGGAGGATGGCCCAAAGCCTTGGGACCCTGCACCCATGTGGGAGACCTGGAAGAATCTCCTGGCTTTTTGACTTCAAATCAACTCAGCTCCAGCCATTGTGGCTGCTTGTGGCCACTTAGAGTAAACCAGTAGGTGGAAGATCTTTCTTTCTTTCTCTCCTTCTCTGTAAATCCGCCTTTCCAATAAAAATAAATAAATCTTTTTAAAAAAAGATTTTAAGATTTAAATCTTAAATGCTCTTAATGCAAGAGCCAAGTGAACATGCTATCATCCCTGACTCCCCTCTCACTCCCCCGCCAAATTAGGCAGACTCTCCCACCTTGTTCCTGGGGACAGTGGGCTTGGTAGATCGCTGTGTGGCGGGGAGATCTGCCAGTGTGGAGGCAGTGGTACCAACAGGCTTTCTGCAGGCTGCTGCCTCCCAGGGGAGGGATCTGGTTCGTTCTGTCCCTCTGCACTTCTTGAGGTTAGTCCCTCTGCCTCTGTCAAGCTGAGTACGTGATTCAGAAAGACTTCAGTTACCCTGATTGACCTCTGCATGGAGAAGCCTTTCGTCTATCACACCAGTCATTCAGAATCAGCAAATAGATTGTCAGGGGTCAACGTACTGATGTAATTGAAGATGCATGACTAAAATTTTTACTCTTAAATTTTATGTGGTTAAGGAAAGAGGTGCTGCTTTGTTTATGAATTTGGTTACACTTTAAACTATCCTATATATGCTCCATTTGTCTTCACTTGTCTTGCCTAATTTTTAAAGATGTATTTATTTGTCTTGAAAGAGAGAAAGGTATCCTCCATCTAGTGATTAACTCTTCATATGACCAGGTAGCCAATGCTGGGCCAAGTTGAAGCCAGGAGCCAGGAGCTTCATCTGAATCTTTCTCAAGAGGCCAGGACCCAGTCACTTGAGCCATCTTCTGTTGCTTTTCTCAGGACATTAGCAGGGAGCTGAATCAGAAGTGGAACAGCTGGATATGAGCTGGCAGTCATATGAAATACTGGCAATCGTGGGCAATGACTTTACTTGCTGTGCCACGGCAGCAACCCCATCTTACCAAATTTTTAAGAATTACTTTAAAATGCTGATTTAAACTTTTTTTTAAATAAAAAATAACTTAAATATTACTATAAAAATTGTATGGATGTGCTGTCAGTATTTACAGGAAAGATGTAATATGCTAAAAACAATTGGTGTAGTTTATTGTGCTAAGTAGAGAACAAACAACAATCATAGCTTCTTATACAGCATTTATAGGCACTGTATCACGTAGTGTATTGATCTGATACAGTAGAGCACTACCCATGTTCTAGCATCCTTTCATGCTGATTGCTGATAATGGCATGAATGGGAAAGCATTTGCCTCAGTATTAAAAGTGCGAATGGGACAGATATTGTTTGCTCTACTACCAAGTTGAGGATTGCTTGTCTCCACAGATGGAACTTTCCGCTCTACAGTCCATGATGGCTGCACAGGAGGAGGAGCTGCAGGTGCAGGCTGCCGATCTGGAGTCCCTCACTAGGAACATACAGATCAAAGAAGATCTCATAAAGGTCTCGCAAAGCTTCTTAAAGACCATTGGGAACGTTTATAGCTCAGAATCCCCATGGGACATCTGCCTATAGTATTTGGCTATGCTGAGTCCCTTGACCAGTGCTTATCCATATTCCACTTGCAAATACAGCAGATTGTTTTAAGGGCATTGGTTCCCTTGCTTCTTAACAGTGTTTTATTATTACTGTTTTATCTATATTTATTTTATTTGTAGGACCTGCAAATGCAACTGGTTGATCCTGAAGACATACCAGCTATGGAACGCCTGACCCAGGAAGTCTTACTTCTTCGGGAAAAAGTTGCTTCTGTGGAATCCCAGGGTCAAGACATCTCAGGAAACCGAAGACAACAGGTAAGTTATCAGAATACCTACCTTTTTTTTTTACCGTAGCATAAAGAAAGGGAAAACATGTCAAGCTCAGCTGCTTATGAAAGAGTCAGCAAATATAATTTTATATTGTGTATGTTCTCTCCTCTCCTCCCTCCCTCTTTTTTCCCATTCTTCTCCTTCCTTCCTTCCTTTCTCTCAATCCTTTCTTTCAGCTTCTTGTGTTTGGTTTCCCTCTCCTCTTTCTTATTGCTCCCATGTTTGAATTTTGCCTTTTAGGGTTTTGAAGTTAAAAACATATAGTGCATATGACATTGATTCACACACTGTGATATACTATGGGAAACTGAGGCAGGTCATAAGATCATTGGCTTTTTTAATCACACTACATGCTAATGCATTTTTCTGTTGTTTCTCTCCCAAAAGTTTTGTGTCTCACTTTCCCATGTGCCATTGCTTCTTCTCTCTTCTTTCCTCAGTTGCTGCTGATGCTAGAAGGCCTGGTAGATGAACGGAGTCGGCTCAATGAGGCCTTACAAGCAGAGAGGCAGCTCTATAGCAGTCTGGTGAAGTTCCATGCCCATCCAGAGAAGTAAGAGAGGGACTCTTTTTGCCTTTTACTCTTTGTAAAAATTTTCTGTTCTTTTCATTCTTCATGAAGTTTAGATGTGTGTGGTACCAAAGAGGAGGAAAAAAGGAAATCAGGAATAAGTAATGGAGTCACCCATTTCTGTCGTTTGTTATATTGGAGCTGGTGTCTAAGTCTTAAGTCAGGAATGGTACCTATTTCACATACCTCTTGCAGAGATTAAATGAGAATGCCTCATAAGAGTGCACACTCAGGGAATGTTCTTTTCCTGTGCTTCCTGTCCTGTTAAAGGACATTATAACAGTGAGACTGTTATGGACTTGATGCTCATTCAGTATCTTCAAGAAAATATATTCATTGTTATGGCTAAAATATCACCCCAGGATGAACAAGAGCCATCACAATGCAATTTCTTATACCACTTGACTTTGATTTTATCTGTCTTTCTAGGTCTTTTTTTTTTTTTTTTAATTTGGCTTCCTGCGTAGTACTGCACCCCTCCCCCCCACCCAGTTTCTTTTTTCTTCTTTCCAAATTTTTGTTCTTTTACTATTCAGTTTCTTCTAAGTTATTATTGACATTTAAAAAACATTTTTCCTTCCACATCAGGATAATGATAATCAGAGTAACTACACGATGGGACCACTTGATTGTGTTACTTTTTGAAGAACCTCTGCATCTTTAGTCTTTCCAACTGGTTCCTTTTCAGAGCATTGTCAAGTTTGACAGCAAATGAGAACATATTTTGCTTTTCCTTGATTTTAGTTTTTCAAAAACTAAAGCTTTTAGATGGTGAAATTTCTCTTCTATGAACTTTTGAGGTGTGAGGTACGACTTAGAAGCTGTAGTTTTATGTAGAATGCAGTGTAGAGGGACTCACTGTAAACGAGAGGGTAAGCCTTGCTAGCCCGGCAGTGGTGACCGCTGTTGTCCTCAACAAAGGCTCCTTGCAGTTACTGTGTCCTACACAACGGTGACTTCAGGATGTCTCGTGCCTTAGAGTGGTGCTGGTGGCTCTTGGGGAAATGCATGTAGATTAATTTCACCTGATGACTAATCCACTTTCCTTCCACACGGCGTATTTAATCAGCTCCGAAAGAGACCGAACTCTGCAGGTGGAATTGGAAGGGGCCCAGGTGTTACGCAGTCGACTAGAAGAAGTTCTCGGAAGAAGCCTGGAGCGCTTAAGCAGGCTGGAGACGCTGGCCGCCATTGGAGGTGGGCAACTGGAGAGTGTGCGAGTCCGTCACGAGCATGCCTTCTGAGCACTGGCGGGTCAGCCTGCAGCCCAGGATGGAAACCTTGTTTACACTAACCAGTGGGAGCCTTGTCTGGTTCGGCAGAATCAAATGGTGACTCACTCATGATAAAACTGGTACAAATAGCATCAACTACAAAGTGGAACTCACGTTAGCCTGCCTGTATCTCACTGTATATAACTATCTATAAATTGACGGTGGAGGTTACAAAGTGTATTTGCACATATTAAATCATTCCATTTTAGTTTTTCCACCCATATTCACTCTTTGCCCTAGCCCCTTCTCATTCCCTCATCCTTCTATGGGCCAATAAAGTTTATTCCTTCCCAGTTTCACAATCCATTTCATATGTTCCATATCATGTTGTAAATGCATGTGTGTGTATTATTTTTGCCATTCAATGAACTGCAGCTCTTTGAATGAGAGCATTTTTAATCAATTCAAAGGACAAAGTAAATCAAAACTAGGTATGGTCTCGTACTAGTAGACTGCAGGTGTTGGAAAGGCCAAGTTAAAGATCAAGGCAAAGGCCATTAAGGTGCTTACAGTGAACCTTTATCCCTACTGTTGTTTCAGACTTGGCTATTGAAAACAGGTGAAAGTAAAAAGGTGCAGACTGAATTCCATTTAAAATGATTTCTTCTTTGATCTCTTTAATTTCAGAACAGAACTTTAAGAAAGTTCTTTTAGAGTCAAAATTATTAAGGTACAAAGGTAATTTCAAGTGTAGTGTCTCCCTTTCAATTCAGTATTTCACCAAATAACTTACAGGCTGAAGAGAATATTGCTTCGGAACTTCCAGTTGGTAGTGGCAGTGGAGTCCTATACTTGTCAATATTTAGTGCATATGCTTTTCTTCGTATTAAAACAAGTAATAGGCTATGGTTTCTGAAGTGCTTGAATAGTTCAGAAAGAAATGTCTTAGGTTGGTGTTCATAGAAATTAGTCATTGTCTCAGTGCTTTCTTGTGACAGAAGGTAGAGGGCACTGGAGATTGTGTTTCTGGTATCTTAAATGTCATAAGTGTGGAAAGTAACTAGATAACTTTGGAGCATTGTAGACTCAGCACCATGAGGTTTCTTATTTCTGCTGGATATAGGTTTGGAATAGGGATTGAGGCTTTGCAGTGCCACAGATGTGATGGAGTGCCCTTTCTAAATTAGGTGGAACACATTCCTTTTTTTTTTGTTTTTGTTTTTACATAGTGTTTTATTTCTTTCACATTCCTGAGTTGACATGGCTTACATTACAGTCCGAATTCCTTCCAAGGTCCCATAATTTTACCTATTCCTGTAACAGAGCTTCAGTCAGACTAAAATGATAGGAAGAACTCTTCTTCTGGAGAAACATTCTGGAATCTTGTAAGTAGTTTGCAAAGATTGGCAGATATAAGCTCACCTCTTTTTTTTTCAGATTTATTTTTATTTGAAAAGCAGAGTTACACAGAGGGAGAGATAGAAAGGTTGAAAAAAAATCTGTTGGTTTACTCCCCAGATGACCACAATTCCTAGGAGTAGAGAACTTCCTGCAGGTCTTCACAGCAGGGCTGTCCTCCACTGATTTCCACAGGTGCAATAGCAGGGAGCTGTATCAGAGTGAGCACCTTCCCACATAGCACCCCATGGGATTCTGCATCATAGATGGCAGCTTAACATGCTACACCACAGCCAGCCCCTAAGATAATCCCTTATCGGATATATCATTCTAGTATTTTAGTAGCTATTGAAAGGGAAAAAAAACTTTGGGGGGAAAAAAAACCCCATAAAAACAGAACTAGGTATCTGCATTTAAGAGACCCTTTCCAACTTGAAACTTTCCGTGACTTCCCAGAAGTGAGGTGGGTGGGTAATGGAGGTGAGCAGTAAAAACGTCAGCCCATCAATGACCAGTCTGTCACATCATTACAGCAAGGCCTTCAGAGGATGTCTGTCTTTAATTTTACTAATAGACAAAGGAAGCTTTTGAAGACTGTGTTAAGATTCAGATGTGGGTGATTTGTGGGTCTAAGAGCTCATGGTGAATATGGTGATAAATAATAAGTACACCTGCTTCCTTCAACCTCCAACAAAAGTAGATTGATAGAAGAATGAATTAAGAGTTTGATCTTGACACCATAAATGCAATTAAAATGTGGTACTAACTTTCTGGTCTTGAGAGCAAGAATGAGGCTTGCAAATGGTGTTACCAGGAGAAGCTTACTATTTTAACAATTTTGTGTTATAATTTTATGTTTCAGTTTTGTCTATAAACTGCCGATAGGTGGTGCTGTGATTGACACATCACTCATTTAATCATGTTTAACCTAGTATAATATGATTCCATTCTCTTTCCAGGAGCATGATTCTTTCTCTTATTGGATTATTCTACCTTTGTCAGGCACTTTTCTAACATTATACTAATTTTAGATAAAACATCATGTGTTTATAGAATCTTGCGCTTGAATAAAGAATTCTTGAAATAAAAATAATGCAGTAAATTTTTACTTAGGTCATGCATGATCAGAAATATAGAATTTAAATTGTGAAAAATATAGACAGGTTTCATTTTTGCCGCATTTTATCTTTGAATAATATGTAGCGTTTTAAGAGGTCAGGGTAGATGAAGTCTGTTTTTTAGGATATAGAGTTGAAAAAAAAACTGATGAAATTTATTTAATGATTGAAATAGAAATCTTTATGGCACAAATTTCCTCTAACTTTCTTTTACAGGTTTAAACTGAATTACTGAACTCTGATCATTGTTAGTTTAGTAACATTTTAACAGCTCTAATCAACATTTCCCCGGTGGTCTCTTTTTGTCTACCTAGCCAAATTAGGACTTTTTTGAAGAGGTATTATTGGGCTATTTTAATTAGATTAACCTTTTACTTCAGAGGGGTTTGCTTTTATTAACCAATTTCACCTAAATCTTATACACTAACTTCTTTTTATTCTGCTGTGGGCAGGGAAAATAATTTTAGTACCTCTACTTCTTAGGGAAAATACATTTTTGTTCATACTTTTAAAAAATGTTCCAGTTGTACAATAAGAGATCTACTAAGTTAAAGAAAAAAAAATCTTGTAGAGTATTAGATCCAAGCCTCTTAGAAGGTTCTTTAGTATATTCTACTTACACAGTTTATACCTTCATGATTCTTTATGGCAGATGTCCATAAAAGCTTACTTACACTTCTAATTCAGTATCTGGGTTATAAGAGGTTCATAACTTCAAACTGGATAAAGAAATTTGATTTGAATTTTCTTTACCTTGATTATAAGGCAGATTGAGGGCTTCTGGTTAGGGAAAAACAGAAGGTCATATACACTGGAAATTATTCATTTCTTTGTAAAATAAAGATTGATCTACCTAAACTTCCTTTCTTTGGACTGTGAACCTTATAGAGAACAATAGTACCTTTGCGTTCCTTGAGCTGAAATGAGAAAGCTCTGGTTCCCAGTGGTAGGATAAAGTCATTGTTTTCTGGCTTCATGATCGTTTTATAAGCATGACAGAGGCTTCACATTTGCCAGCCTGAAAATGCTCCAGTTTCCTTTTCCAACAAGGCGCCTCAGGTAGTGGTCTTCAGCTCTGTAGCCAAGGTCCTGCGAGGAAGGGGTTAGACTTCCATAACCCACACTTGAAGTCTGCCCTCTACGTTGCCTTCAGGAAGTTGCTTTAGAAGTAGAATAAATTAGCTCACCTTTTTATTAAGCTAACAATTGGTGAGACATGTATATGTTTTCTCTCTTAAGGTCAACTCCCAGGGAGTGGTAGCATAAAATCATTGGTATCATAAAAAGAACAATTGGAAATATGGAGCTGTTATAAGACAACCCAATAATTAAAAAAAAAAAAAAGTCAAAAGAAATGAGCCAATAGGCTAATCCGTTAGAATTTCTTAGGATGACAATTTGAGTCTTGGGGTATTTCTGGAGTGTGATTTAAGCCATTCACTGTTTGCAACAATATCTTTATAAAACAGGATTAGGAAATGGCAGTTACTTTTGAATAGTCTTGAGTACTGACTAACGGTAAGTCCCCAGTTGCTTTCTATGTAAACACATGAGCCAGGATGAATTTCACAAATAGAAAATTTGCCTCTGACAAAGAATGACAATTGGAAGGGAAACTCCGAACTATACAGCTGAGAATACTGGTTTCATCAGATTTGAAATAGAATAATTAAAAGTGATGTGCTAATTATTCTTGTTACTCTATATTTTTCTGTCGGTAAAAGTAAAATTTCAGATGTAAAAATGTTTACCACACTCTTTCTGTAAAACTGGGAGGATAAAATAAAAAGTTAGGCAACATCAAAAAACTGATCTGAAGTACTATGAAGAGGAAGGGTGTTAAGGACGTGAATCAGATCGTTGGCCACGTTCCCTTGAAGAGCTCATTGTCCAACAAATGCTTGGAGATTTGCTTTTAGTATATAATGCAAGGATGCCCTGCTGCTTATTGCAGTCATAAAAATCATTAAGGTACTTTTCTCAGTCTCAAAACTGTAAAGCCATGTGTGTATACAGGCTTTATAAATCACGAATTTCCATCTGTGTCCATTGATGATAAAAGCAGTTTTATTTGCTTATATCACTTAGAGTTTTATAGGCTGTTGAGGGCAATGATCTCTGACAGTTACAGAGAAGGAGGAAGTACTGTGCCATCGGATCAGAACTTTGGGGTTAGATTATGTTCAGCACTATTTGCCCTGCACATTAAGCTATATTTTTTTTTTGGAAACTGTTGACATTTGTGCTGAATGGAACAGTGTACTTCTTTTTATGAATAAAGTGTTAGCGTTTCAGCTGCTTTAGTTGAGACAGCAGAACATTACTTATCGAATGAAAGTATCAAAGGCCAGCAGAAACTATTTGATTTCATACTTTAAAAATTTTATGAGAAAAATACAGAAAGGATATATCTTTTTTGTTTATTTAGCCTCTTGATGGTTGTCCTAAAATTCCAAGTCAAAGTGAG